ACAAAATTGTCTATACTTGTGCAAAACTCCAATAACAATGAAGCATATGAATTATACTTTAAATGTCGAGGAAGAGCGGCAAAGTACATAGGGCAAAAGAAGAGGAGCAGCGTAAAGAAATATGTCTCTACGTGTTTGTTGTCCTGTGGCATCGAATGCCACGCTAACACAATAGCTTTGTCATGTTCCGCATAATTTCGTGTTGAATCGACGACTACCTGACCTTGTTGCGTACGTTATAAAGGAGGCATCCGCAATGTCACGCACCCGAGTGCCTTTTATTTCTTCCTCTTTCTACATTTTAGCTTGGAATTTACGTGACGTTCGGTGGCCTTTATTGAGTCTGAATTTTTTAGAATAATATTAAGAGATTACGTAGATTTATGGCCACCGTTTTGATACTCGGAGCATTATTATTTCATACTGATTTTCAGGTGATTTGAATATTTTACTTGGCCCTTTCAGAGTTGGAGCGAGTGTAAAATAATTGGAAAGGCTTCAAAAGCGCTTCTTCTATACGGGAGTCACCTTTTTTTCTGTATTCTTTTATTTCCTTCTTTATAGAGGAATTTTCTTAATGTATAATAAATCGAACAATACATTTTCAAAAGATTTTCAAAAGACAAAGAAACTAAAAATTCTTTGTTGGATGAATTGTTAAACGAATGATAAAACAAATCATTAAATATATTGTAGAAAAAAATTGTACTACAGTGGTTAATCTCATTTTAGAAATAATGAATAATCTTCTTGATGCAGTGACTAAAATGAGACACTATAAATAGTTTTGAATTCCATTAAGTAGATGTTTTTTTTTTAAATTATTTAGGTTTTTCCAATCAAAAATTTGGCACTTTTTAATAAATCAATAAAGAAGTGACTTTTGATTTTGGTTTTAGTTATTTCAAAATTTAATTATAAAAATTTGGTATTCATTGATTTATTTACATAAAAGCCTGGGGTTCCGTAATATGTTAATCTTATTTATACAACAACGTTTTCATCGCGAAATCGCACAAGTGACATATTATATTCATCGATTGAGCAAGTGCTCGCTATTATGAACGGTTGAGGACACCATAAATGAACGCACTTCCGACATTGTCGCGCGCACGCGACGAATGCGTGTCGCACTCCGTTCGGGGGAGGAGAGATCCTCGCTTGCGGCTTCGGAAGCTCAATAGGTATATGAACTTCCGGCTGCTCAAAGATCTTTAAAAAACGAGCGCATACATATAGGTGTAGGTGTATACCCAAAGGAAGAAGCCGACTTGGTATGTATATATACATACATGATACGTGGAGTATATTATATACGGACCACCCCAGTGGTGGCCGACACAGGTATATGTACGTATGCAGGTATATACGTTGGAATCTCCATAAAACCGAAAGGGCTAGAAATTATAAAAATTTTAGAAAAAGTTTTTCACGTCGCACGTGACTAGTGAGTATTTCTTCGGTTTAGTCTGGATGATAATTAATTATTTTTATCTTTGAAAAAAATGCGCGAATACCTTATGTGTACCTTAGGGCAAAGTAACAACGAGGGTTTTTAAATATTTAAATTTTCAATTAAAAAATTATAATTCAAATGTAATTCTCAATTAAACGTTTTTCCAATAAAAAATTAAATATAATTGTTGGTTGACAGTTCTTTCGATAAATAATTAAATTTATTTTTAGCT